GTTAGGGGGTCCTAGCATGGGGAAGAAAAGGGACGGCAGAGAGGGAAGTCTGACCTGACTTCCAGGCTCTACCCAAGAGTGGTGTATCTCTACCACCAGAGCCTGAGCCTCTGCCTCTGCTCCTTCTACTCCAACTCCATCTCTGATGTTGAACTCACTAGTCACTTCAGGCCCCTCTCCATCCCACTACTCTATCCTTAAACCCTTGGAATGGCATCCTCAAACCATCTCCCATTACCTGCTGCTGACTCCCAGAGATCACTAGCTCCCAGACCTGATTCCTGCCAGTCTCTAAGTACCCACTAATACTGCCTTCAAACAGCCTATTGCCAAGCTGGTGCCAGTAGCTTATATCTATAATCCTAGCTACTCAGGAGGCTGAGATCTGAGGATCATGGTTTGAAGGCAGCCTGGGAAGAAAAGTCTGTGATACGCTTATTTCCAATTAATCAGCAAAAAAGCTGGAAGTGGGGGTATAGCTCAGGTGGTAGAGTACCAGCCTTGAGAAAAAGCAAAAACAAAAACAACCAAGAGTATGAGGCCCTGAGTTCAAAGCCCAATTTTACAGCATACCTGTGCACACATGCATAAACAGACACATACAAATGTTCTTCGTTGAGCAGGGGTGAGATTTAATTTGCCTTAACTTTTGTTACCATAAGTGGACTTCCATAGCTGTTTCTTATTTAGAAAGAATTTAGTCATTCAGAGAGCTGAGGAAACGTCAAAATATAACCTTTGAGGCAATCAGTCTGTTTCCAGCCTCTTACCCTCTACCCTGAGTATCTGCACACTCAGAGCAGGGTTCAAGAACTGAGCTTTGGGGTATAAATTCAGGCAATCTCCTAGCCTACTAGAATTTAACATTGTCTGCCCCTCACACATGCACATGCAATTACATGTACATGCTCACATAATCTGGAAAGTATAATTAATGTAATTATATGTACATTCTACATACATATCAGGCTAGAATATAAGTTCAATGAAGCAGGAATCATTTTCCCCCATGATTAGCCCCAGACCTATAATAGTGTTGATACATAACAAATATTGGTAGAAAAAAATGACACATAATGAAACACAGACATAAACAAATGCATATCTATATACTTATAACACATCCAATGCTAAGGTATGATATATGTGTATGCATATCTACATGCTACCCACATTAGTGTATATTATTTAGATAACATATATATATAACATGACATACCTAAATCTATACATAGACTGCATATTAATACACATAAAGAAGTACAACCACTACAGACATACCCTAGATATTACTCATTTACAATGCCACAGTTAAAATATATAAACATAACATATAAAACAAACACATGTGCAGGTTTGTATACACTAAGTAATACAAACAGAAGCATTTATTTATTTATGTTGCTGGAGATTGAGCCCAAGAGCACATGAATCCCAAGCAAGCACTCTACCACTTGAGCTACATCCCCAGTCCTTGAAGCACCTTTTTATTATCACTATAATTACTTTGCAGTACTTATGTTTAAACTCAGGGCCTCATGTTTGCTAAGCAGGTGCTCTACTCCTTCAGTCACACCACCAGCCCTTGTTTGCTTTAGTTATTTTTCAGTTAGGATCTCCCAGTTTTGCCCAGGGAGACTTCAGTAAAGGATCCCCCTAGCCGGGCACCGGTAGCTCACGCCTGTAATCCTAGCTACTCAGGAGGCTGAGATCTGAGAATCGCGGTTCAAAGCCAGCCCGGGCAGGAAAGTCCGTGAGACTCTTATCTCCAATAAACCACCAGAAAACCAGAAGTGGCACTGTGGCTCAAGCGGTAGAGCGCTCTCCTTGAGCTGAAGAGCGCAGGGACAGCGCCCAAGCCCAAAGTTCAAACCCCATGACCGACATAAAATATTAAAAAGAAAAAAGAAAAACAGAAACAGAAAAGGATCCCTCTCTCTATCGTGCCTCCTGATTAGCTGGGATTGCAGCCATGTGACATGGGGCCTCATTATTTGCCCAGGCTGGACTCAAACCTCAGTCCTTCCAATCTTCTCACAATCTGCACCTGCAGCGTATTGAGAGCCCCGGTGCCCAACCTTAAAGTACCTTTGCATACAGATTTTTCCAATCAAGAGAAAATTGTCGGAAGGTTCTTGGCTCAGGCCTGGATACCATTAAACCGCCACTAGGTGGTACCCGTTCCCACCTCGGTACTCCCAAGTGTTGCTAGAGACGGCGCCACCCCCCTAACCCCCCCACCCCCTTCTCCCCGCTTAAGGCACAAAATTAGTGGAGTCAAGTGTAGTACCCCAGCACCCACCCCCAGCCCCCCACCCTCACTACGAACTTGTCTTCGGTTCTCAAAGTCTCCCCGATGTCGAGTTCGTCCTCCAGACCTCTGATGGCGGGGAGCAGCCCTGGGGCTGTTCTGCCCACTTCTCAAACCCGACCCAAGTTCCCCAGCGAGCCGGAAGCCTGTCTGAGTCCCTCTCCCTGGACTCAGAGCCTCGCGAAGAGGGACCCTCGGAGCCCCACGACGGCTCCGGGAGTGGTGGATCAGCACTACTCCACACCAGCACCGCACACCTGCACACCAGCGCCCGCAGCCCCCTTTGGCTTACTCCTGACGCCCTGCCAGCGGGTGGACGAGAGACGACCCCCACCCGCCCCGGCGCGGAGCGGCGGCCCAGCCCGAGCCCAGGCCCTCGGGTGCGCAGGCGCTGCGGGATGGAGCCGGGCGCCCTGACCTCGCGGTCTGCGCGTGCTCGTGATCTTAGGCAAACTGCTTGAAGTCCCTGGGTGCCAGGAGAGGGAAGGACAGACGTCTCCCGCTTCCCCCCACTCCGCCCCGGGCTGCCTCAGGCGTCCCCCAGACCTTCACCCCTGCGGGAGGAGACACCTAGCGGGGCCTCCCTGGAAAGCCCGCGCGGGGGGCGAAACCGGATCGGCAACGGCTGGGCCGCCCCGTCCTCCTCCCCGCTTCTCCCCCGGGAGCAGCGGGAAATTATTTATTAAAACGCCGCCCGCGCTCTCATTTATTTGCGGTGAATAATCCTCGGCATCTCAGCGCGTTTATTAAACCTTTCCCGTCCCCGCGCCCGCATTACTTTAATAATAAATCGCGTGTCACTTTCCAGCGACGTTATTAAACCCCCGTCTGCTGCAGCAGAGGCGGGGTGCGGGGAGGGTGGGCGGCGGGAGAACCTCCCGTTCCAGGCTTCGGGACCTGAGCCGCCAGGGCCACGGAGGGGGGAAGGAGGCTGCAAGGAGGCTGTCCCTGAATTACATGCAATCTCGAGCTAGGAGTTTGGATTCCCCGGGTGGGCAGCTCTGGGGTTGGGTGGGAATTAGGCTAGGAGCCGCGAACCTGCAGGTGGGCAGGTTCCGATTGAAAGCACTTCAGTAGCTGCCTTGGGCAATGATCAAGCGAGGAGCAGGGGGTCCCTAGCCCATGTGGGAACCCAGTTCAAAGTCCCCTCTTTATAGAGGAAGCTATTTTGCCAAAGTCGCACTGTTCAACTGGGCCTCATTCTCCACCCCCCTCCACACACACACACCCCTCCGTGGCCTTGGAATTCTCTCCAAGTACCCAGCCAGCTTCCATATGGTGTTCAGCTCCTGGGGCCTCTGAGCTCTAGTCAATGAGAACCATCCTCTGGCACTGGGTGAGGCAGTAGCAGATGGACAGATGGGTGGGAGGAGGGTGGGGAGGTGGTGGCCAATCCTTTAGGATGCGGTTGTGGGCCACGCCCCTCCCTAGAGGCTCAGCTCCCGGAGTTGGGCCTCAGAGAACTCTCAGGCAAGGAATCAAAAGCATTCCAACAGTGGCATGAGCTCCCAAGTGCATATAGGACCACTGATGTTTTCAGTCTCTCCTTCCATCATTCCATAACTTCCCCAGTGTCCCTGAACCAGAACCAGAATGTGAGGGAGATTTTAGGACCTAAAAAGAGGGACCTCCAAGTCAGAACAGGGTACAATTAGGGCAGTTGGAAGCAGGCTTACCTTGCTTTTGAGTTTGGTGAGGAAAATGGAAGGTTTGCATGGGAGGTGGGGAAGATGTCGTCCCGTGTATGCATTCATATTCATAGGGAGTCCCACCCACATTCACCTGGCTCCCCACTCTGCCTGGAAAGCAAGATGAATAGAGGAACAGGAAATCTATTTCTAATTGTGGGCTGACAGGGACACCCCTTCTCCAACCAGATAGCTCCAGGTTCTCTCCCTAGAGGTAGGCAATAGTACAAACCTCTCACCTGGCAGGAGTGTGCTGAGAGGGCAGAACCTGAACTTTCTAGAAGTTAGAATTCAGTTAATATGGGAGGCCTCTCAAGGGAATCCCCACTCTCCATGTGTACATCTACAAGAACTGTGTAGGTGTGTGGCTTTGTTTGTTTACAAGTCTTTATTGACACCCCATCTTGTGTACAGTGTATGGAATTGCCCCTGGGACTTGGAACACTGGAAAATGAATTCTGAGGAAGGGTAACCTGAGGGAAGGCAAAGATGGAGGAGTAGGAAAATAATAGGAACCAGTGTTGATGGGGAAGGGAAGTTAGGAGAGACTGACTGAGCAGGACTGGAGGGAAGGCTGCTGAGGAGAAGAGGACCCTCTCTATGGATACTGCAACCTGACTAACCTAGGGGCCAGCTGGTCTGTGTTAAGAATCCTCCTGGCCAGGGCATCTCCTTCATAGACCCCTTTGCATCTCTCCTGTTCTCATCTCTGCTTTCTCTCCCTACTGTCCTCCAACCGGCCTGCCTCTCTCTGTGTCTGTGTCTGTCTCTCTGTGTCTGTCTCTGTCTGTCTGGCTCTCTTTCCACTTGAACTCAGGACCTGGGTACTGTCCCTGAGCTTCTTTTGCTCAAGGCTAGTGCTCTATCACTTGAACCACAGCACCACTTCTAGCTTTTTCTGAGCAGTTTGTTGGAGATAAGACTGTCATGGACTTTCCTCTCTGGGCTGGAACTGTGATCCTCAGATCTCAGCCTCCTGAGTAGCTATGATTACAGGTGTGAGCCACCAGCACCTGACTTTTTTTTTAATTAACTTACTTTATTGTTATTATAAAGGTGATGGTCAGAGGGATGACAATTACAACCTGTCTCTTTCATACTGTCACCACCATGATCATCCTACAAGGAGCAGTAAACTAATCCATGAAGGGACCTTGTTCACCCTTTCTAGATCTATTCCAGGTCTTCTTAGGAGCAGGGACAGATATTAGGACCATCACCCACCCCACCATCCAGAGCTAGTAGAAATCATAATCATAGCTCTCTTCATTTTCGGCTTCCTCAGGAACCAGGTTCAATGATTTCAGCCGAGGGATTCCTGTGGAGTTCAGTTGGTCTGCAAACACAGGAGGCAAAGAAGAGATTGTGGATGGCCACATATCCCACTCTGGGGGAGGCTGTGCTTGTGTGTAGGGGCCCACATTCCCATTCCCAGAAGGATTGTTTCTGACACACATTCAAAGGCTCTAATCCCAACCCCCAGATGTCCCCTGTACCTGGTGTGAGCACTAGCAGGGAAGCAGGGGCCTCAACCCAGCCCAGGGCATTCCGGGCAATACAGCGGTAGGTGCCCTCATCACTGGAACGAACCGCTTGGATCTGCAGCCAACCAGTCACCTCAAACCGCTGAGGTCCACCTCTAAACTAGAACCACATGGCGAGTCAGCAAGGTCATTTTGGGGAGCCCTACACTATCAGGGAGAGCCTGTGTTCCCTGTCCCTACCTGCACGGAGATGTGGGGATCATCCCCTGGCAGCTGGACATCCCAGCCGTCCTTCTTCCACTCGATGGAGGCCATTGGATAGGCGAACACCTCGCAGCCAAAGATCACATCCTGCCCGGTCACATTCCAAATGTCCCGGGGCTGCGACACTATCTTGGGCTCTGGGGGATGGAGGTGAGAATGGGGTGGTGCATCCAGTCCAACAAGGACACCCAACGGGAATTGTTGTGGGTATACTTGTGGCAGAAGACAAAATATGCAGAGGTCAGTACATGTCTGTAAATAAAACAGGACGTGTACACAAAGATACATACAAGTGTCGATGCGGGAATACACAAAGGCAGAAATGCTGCTGTAGAGATGCAAAGCAATGTGTAAAAACAGAGCGTTTGTGCAAACTGTACAGACACAGAGACCCACACCTTAAACTTGGCAGTGTCACTCTGTCCCCGACTGCTCCGGTGTCCTCATTCCACCCTCCAGTCTCTTTCCTGCTGGGCGGGTAACCAACACCTCCCTCCCCACTTCCCCCTTTTCTAAGCCCGCGACAGTTCCCAAAGGCCGGGAGAGCTGCCCCTCCCCCACTCCAGTCCCTGGGGGAGGAGGGGAGAGATGCGAAGCCTGAGCTGGGGAACGTGAAACCAGACATTAAATGGCAAGCCGGGAGGCCTGGGGGAAATCGCTGGGAACTCCTGCTGGAGCATATGTTTTCACCACAGCCCCAGCCAAGCCACATCCAGGGTAGAAACTCAGGAAATGAAAGAAAGCAGCCAAAGAAAACTTCAGACTTGAATGACCCCCAAACCCCGCGGGATCAGGAGAGAAGACAGTAGCGCTCTCCCCCTCCATTAAGTCCCTACAGGTAGAGGAAAGGAGAAGCACACAGAATGGGCTCACAGATGCACGGGAACCAGCACGCTGTCCAGGCTCCCGTGATCTAGGCAAAGTCTGAGGGTTCTTCCCGCCTGAGCCAGTTATTGGCTGTGTGCCTTTCAGAGATGGGTGGGTGTCTGCTAGTCCGGGACCTGCATCTTTAGCTGGAGCCTTTGAGGATCAGGGGTGAGAGCATCAATGCTGCCTGAGGATGGAGAGCCGTGCCTCCAGAACGCCAAAACTTGGGGTTGGGGCGGGGGGAGGGCAAGGGCATAAAGGCCCCGGGTGCTGCGTACCCGATTCGCAGGGGCCTGGGTGTGCCACCGTGAGGTTGGCGTCGGGCCTCGCGCGGGCCGCCTCCTGCAGGCGGCAGATCTGAGCGTAGGTCCGGCCGTCGGAACCGCAGAGCGGACTCTGCGAGCGACAGGCGCACCACGGCTCGGGCACCTCTCCACGGTGCAGGTCGTCGCCTGCATCCAGCCGGCACTCGAGCTGCTCGCCGCAGCGCCCGTAGAAACGCGTGCTGGGGTCCAAGTCGCAGAGCTGGCCCTCCAGGTTGGCGCATTCCCAACAGCAGTCGCACGCGTCGCGCACCTGACCCGCCAGGCAACCCCGGGGTGCCGCGCACAATTCTGGCCGGCAGGGACCGCAGTCCTCGCCCTCGGTTAGCAGCCTCAGCCAGCCCCGCCGCAGGTAACCGGGGCCTGCAGACGGCCTGGCGCTGGTTGGGGGCAGTAGCAGTAGCAGTAGCAGGGGCAGCGCCCAAGCAGCTGTAGCATGGTTAGCTGGGAGCCCTGGGTGCACTCGGGACATCGGCGCGTTGGTGGCACCCTGCCAGGGAGAAAAGCCGGACCAAAAGGTCAGAAAGCCACGCCGACAACGAGAGCTTGAGCCCTGGCACAGTGCCAACCCCTGCTACCTGAGAATCAAGTTGTCCCCTCCCCTCTGCAGAGGGCCTGCGACCCCCTAGGGGTTCCAGCTGTGTCGGTGGACAAGTGACTGAGCTGTTGTTACTGCACGATAAACACACCGTCAGAAACCACCCAACGCCGATGCTCCATTGCCCCAGAGATGAATGGACATCAATGGCTTTAGGAGAAACTGTTGAAAGGGATAGGAGAGCACCGGGCGGAGATGCTGCTTGTTTACGGCTTGGGGTCCTGGGACTCACCTGGTGTCCCGCACTAGGCCCCACGACGCAGCTGTGTTGCAACTCCAAAGCAAGCAGAGGCTCACGCACAGTCAGCTGGACCCGCTGGCCACCACTGCTCCTGCGGGAGGATCTCCGCCTAGGATTCGGAGTAGCTCCTCCGCCCTCTCTCCGCCCCTCGACGTCGCCTGCCCGCCTTCCCTCGGTTCAGAGGCGGCCCATTTTCTGCAGCCCCACCCTGGGGACCATCTCGGGCCAGTTCCATCTAGCCTGCCCCGCAGTCACAGTGAGAATGCAGGAGGAGTCACCGGACACCGACGCTGGGAAAGAGGGGTGCGGGGACTGGAGACCCGGATTGGGGGTGGAGAGATGTCTGGGAAGCCCAAAGGGTTGTCTATGCCATCCGACTTCCCAGCTCCGGAGGAAGGCTATAGCTTCTGCGTTACACTGTGGTGTCATTTTACACGTGCGTCCCGGAGCTTCGGAAGGGTCGGGTCCACGAACACCGGCTCCCCGCACCCCAGGGCTGGCTTCCCAGGGCCGGTGGCAGCCTGGCCCACGTAGTTTCTCCACCCAGGCGCGGACCAGTCTCGGCATTTACATCCATCTGCTTATCCACATCTAGCCTCCTCCCTCCCCACAGCCTGCAGGTGCTTCAACTCGCGGAGGAACCCAGTGTTTAGAGGTCGGAACCGAACCAGCCACCGCAGGGAGGGGTGGGCGGGGCGCTTCCCCGACGAGCGTCGCTCCCGGTCCTGATTAGAGGCCACGGTGTCTGTCTGGGCTGGTAGAACCAGAGGCATTCGGTCTCAAAGCGGCCACCAGCGCCACCGTGGCACTTTGGGCTGGGGGCGGGAGAGGAGCAACCCTGGAAGCCCGCCAGCCCAACTCGTCCCGGCCAGGCCCCGCCCCATCCTGTCCCAAGCAGTTTATAGAAGCGGCTCCGCAATCCCATATGTAGGAGTGGAGCCGCGGTTTCCAGTGGCGGTATTTAGTCTAGCTCCGCCCGGGACGGGGACTGGGGGCAGGGGGGGGGGGCGCGGAGACGCAGATTGCGCATGCGCGTCTGGTAACGGGGCGCAGGCTCTGAGAGTCTGCCCGGGACGCTGCCCTCTAAAACCTCATCTGAGGCCTGCCAAGCCCGGGTCCTCCTAACACAGATGCCACTCGGCCTGAGGGGTCCCGGCGAGGTGGGCGGGCAGGACACGGCTAGCCTGCTTTCAGACTGGGACCGAGGGAACTTCGCGCGAGGATTCGCAACTGTCGCGAGAATCCGGAGAACCGTAGGCCTTCGGAACAGGAAAAGCCCGCGGGGTTTTAAACCGGAAAGGAACGGGCGGAGCCAGCCGTCACCGAATGTGGAAGTCGGTCTCCCGTCCTTGCCCCGGCCGTGACGGGAATGTAGATGCGGGGAGCGGGGGCGGGGGGGGGGAGAGTGAAGTCCCCAGAACTGCAGGAAACCCTTTAGAAAAAGGCAGGAAACGGGGTCTGGCGGAGCCCACCGATGCAACCAGCCGCAGGGAGGTCCCGGCCTCCGACGAAACATCTTCGGAAGTGAGATCGTCGTCCAGGACACGGAGTCGTAGCAGCCCCAGGTCTCTTCGTGGATTGCTACGCGCTTTCCGAGACTCTGAGCCGGTATAAAATAACCAGCCATCTAGATCTAGAACGCTTACGTTCCGTCTTTGCTAGGCTAAAACCATGTCCTAATGCACCACTGTGCTTGGTGAATGTACTGGCCGCGCAGCAGATTCCTGACAAATATTTGTGTTTTTAAATGTGCTCAAGTTTAACCTGGCCTTTCGCGGTCCTTGATGATGGAGATTAGACTAGATCAACAGGGAACGAGCGCCCTCTGGTGGATTTGCGCAAGTCACCAAAGCTGTTGACTGTACAAGGGATCCACTTTTTTTTTTTCAATTTTAATTTTATTGTCAAGGTGATGTATAGAGAGGTTACAGTTACATAAGTAAGGTAGTGAGTACATTTCTTGTCGAACTTGTTATCCCCAAAGGATCCATTTTAAGAGTAATGTGATAGTATTTTACAAGGGAGTTAGTTACATATGGTAATTTAAAAGTCTACATATGTTCCTAGGTCTTTATCATCTGGTACTTTATCAATTAATACTCCAAACACATTCAATAACAATTATGTGCATCGACAATATTAAAGAAATAGCAAAAGATTTTGCATCTTCACTTTAAAAATGTTGACTCACTTTGGGTACAAGTTGAAAATAACTTTCTGGTTTAATTGATGTAAGTAATGCAAGAAGAGGATCTAGGTCTTAACACCTACATGAGGGAGGCTAAATTCAGATGAACAAGATGAAGTTAAAGATTGTTGAAGCATAAATGGTCCTGCCTCTGATTCCCCCTTTGCTGCAGATGCTTGTACTAAAGAAGAAATGAGTCCTTGTTTGGTATGAGTCCAATCCCCAAACCAACAAAAAATATATAATGAATATCATCCAATGTTGGCCCTTCTTTTTTTTGAGGGGGGGTCCGGTTGTGGGGTCTGAACTCTGGGCCTGGACGCTGTCCCTCAGCTCTTCAGCTCAAGGCTAGTGCTCTAGCGCTTGAGCTACAGCACCACTTCCGGCTTTTTTCTTTTTGCTTATGTGGTGCTGAGGAATTAAACCCAGGACCTCAGGCATGCAAGGCAAGCGCTCTACCAATGAGCCACCTTCCCAGCCCCAATGTTGGCCCTTCTGTGGAGAGTTGGAAAAGAAGCTGCCATTCAAGTCTCCCTTGAGCTGACCAGTTCACTAAAAATAAATAACTACCTGGTAAATATATGCTCAGAACTTCAAGCAGGAAACAGTAGATGCTTTCCTCAAAGGCTCAAAGAAGTGAATAAAGAGGACTGATTAGTCATCCATGAATTACTTGGCTTTTAGGCAACCAAACCACAGGAAGAATCTTGGGATCTGGCAGAACATCAGACTATAATTAGTAGAATGCTGAGTATGTTTAGAAGTTTGTAAGTCTCATGCTCATAAGAATATGCTCAGCCTCACAGAACCCCAGATTCCTTCATGCCTTTTATGTCTTCTTCCCAAGGGTAAGACACAAGAAAAAAGGTAAGACTAGGAATGTGGCTTAGAGGTAGAGTGCTTGCCTAGCATCCACAAACTCCTGGGTTCAATTCCTCAACACCACATAAACAGAAAATGCCAGAAGTGGTGCTGTGGCTCAAGTGGTAGACTGCTAGCCTTGAGCAAAAAGAACCCAAGGATAATGCTCAGACCCTGAGTTCAAACCCCAGGACTGACAAAAAAAAGGAGGAGGAGGAAGAAGAAGGGAGGAGGAAAAGGAGGAAGAAGAAGGAGGAAGGAGGAGGAAGAAGGGAGGAGCAGGAAGGAGAAGGAAGAAGAAAAAGGAGGAGGAAGAAGAGGAGGAGGAGGAGAAAAGAAGAAGAAGAAGAAGAAGAAGGAAGAAGAAGAGGAGGAGGAGGAGGACTAGGAGGAGGAGGAAGGTAGCAAGCAGAACTATGGCCAGCAAACCTACTCACTCTATCCCTGACTAGGGGAATGCAAAAGGAAGACATATTGAGTCAAACTGAATTGATGGCCTCAGAAATATAGTAGGAAAATTGAGCTTTTAATTAGGAAGTGATAGCCAAGCACTGGTGGCTCTTGCCTATAATTCTAGCTACTTAAGAGATTGAGATCTGAGCATTATGGTTTAGAATCAGCCAGGGCAGTAAAGTCTGCGAGACTTATCTTCATTTAACCAGGGAAAAGCCAGAAGTGGAATTGTGGCTCAAAGAAGGTAGAAGAGAGAGTGAGAGAAAGAGACAGAGAGAGTGCGTGCTGAGATCTCCTGTGTCCTGGGACTTGAATTGCTGTCTTTACAAAATTCAAAAAGTATATGGATGTATTTTTGCAAGAAACAAGACTGTTCGTGACCCAGATCTTGCATTTCTGGAGCTGCAAGTGCTGTCACTGGCCCAGACACCAGGGACTATATAAATGGGGCAGCATCTGCAGTGGGTGGAGCTAAAGAGGCCCCACAGTCTAGGAAGGGCCTAGGAGAAGGGGTTGTTTCCACTTAAACTGGGCTTCCAGGCTCAGCTGTGTCAGCAGCCACCATCCATCTGAAACTACTTCTGAGAAATAAGATGAACCTCAGATACATTGTACTTGGCACAGTGTTTTTTAGTTTTTACTAAATTTCCAATATTGAAACATAGAAAAGATTTGTGTAAAAAAACAAATCTAGAATGCAGTGGTCAGAACTGTTAGGCAAATACATTTAAAGAGGTCTTGAGGAGGTACTGAACTGAGTTAGGGAAGTAAGGAAAAATCAGAGGTAATATCTAAACTGCTGATGCTGTTAGATTGCTTTAACAAACAACACACAAAAATGAATCAGTTCCTATAGAAGCCAGACCTAAAAAACATGCATATTCATAGACAGGTAAAGACACACCCATACATATATGGTATAGGTATATAGATATACACGTACATATAGAACAGGAGTCTATGGGGCTATTTAGGAGGATAAGAAGAGAAGGAAAAAGAAAGATGGAAGGTGAATTATTTTATTTTTACTCTTTATTGGTCCTGGGGCTTGAACTCTGGGCCTGGGTGCAGACCCTAAGCTTCTTTTGCTCAAGGCCAGCACTCTACCACTTGAACTATAGTACCACCTCGGGCTTTTTTTGAGTAGTTTATTGAAGATAAGAGTCTCACAGACTTTCCTACCCAGGCTGGCTTCAAACCATGATCTGCTCAGATCTCAGCCTCCTGAATAGCTAGGATTACAGGTGTGAGCTGGAGGTAAGTAATTTTAAAATATGGTGCAAAATAAAATATGCTACAAGTAAAATATAAAGACAACATGAAGACTCTCCGTTTAAACTGCTGATCAACAGAGTTGTGGGAAGTGGGAAAATAAAAAGCAATAGAGGAAGCCGGGAGCTGGTGACTCACGTCTGTAATCCTAGCTACTCAGGAGGCTGAGATCTGAGGATAGCGGTTCAAAGCCAGCCCGGGCAGGAGAGACCGTGAGACTCCTATCTCCAATAAACCACCAGAAAACTGGAAGTGGTGCTGTGGCTCAAGTGGTAGAGCACTGGCCTTGAGCTGAAGGGCTGAA